AGGGTGGGAGCAAGATTTACTGACACTGGCGCAAGGAAAAGAGGGAAGGGCTTCAGAGGGATCAAAAATTAATTTCAGGCATATCCCGGTTAAACCTCGGAGACGAGACAGAGATTTTCTCAAGGCTTCCATCGCATTTGATCGTTTTTCGGCTGCGGCGGACCCCTGCCATCCCCGTCTCTCCTGCATCTCTCCCGTGTCTCTCCGCCAGGTCCCTTTCTTCGGGAAGCGCCAGCACCACACCTGCCCGTGTTTGCCCAACTTCCTCTGCTCCAGGTTCCTCGACGGCCGCTACCGCTGCTACATCTCCATCGACTTCAAGAACATCGATTTTTAGGGTGATGCTTCCCGGTTCTCCATCCTCCACCTCCCCCCACGCCCATTTCTCACCCTCTCCCATCACCATCAGGTGCCTGTGTAGCACCTTAAAAATGCTTTTCCAGGCTAGACAGCGGTGTTATGAGCTACAGGATATATGGGGAAACTGAGGCACGGTCAGGCCAAGCTGCTCCCACGTGTGGCTTAGCAAAGCTCTGCCCCAGCCCGGAGCTGGACCCAGCTCCAGCATCCAGGAGCAGCTCAAAGGACAGCGTCCGCAGCCTCAAAAATCCCTTTTAGAGGATGTTGTCTGCATGTCACGGATGCTGTCAGCTAGATTCCACCTCCCTCCTTTATTTTATCCGGTAAAAACCAAGGGTGATGGCATTTGGCTTCCTCCCGTGGTTTTTATCCCGGCGCACGATAGCACTTGGGATGTGAAGCTGGGCAGCATCCCTTCGGCTGCCAGAGCATCCGCGGGGCCGAGCAGGGGTGGCACAGCCCTGACCTGAATGAGTTTTGACCCTTTTCAGTTGTGCACAAGGAAAAACAAAAATCAGAGGGGCAGAGCCTTCCTTTTGGGGGTGTTTTGGCTGTTTCCCTGCAATTCCAGCTGGATAAGCCATTCCTGTAACCATCATTCCCATCGTGCTGTTGCCCCATCGGGTCTTATCAGCGTATTTTTTTTCCTTGGAAGTGGGTCTTCAAGCTGGTCATGGATGAGCTAATCTCGCCGACAATTCAAATCAATCGATATCAAGTAGCTGTGGGGAATGAAGGAATGGGTTTCCCCTAAGTTCAAGCCACTCAATGTGTTTGGCAGATGCTGGAGCTGCAGATGTTTGGGATGGAGGAAAAATGTTTTCCAGGCTCAGCATCTGCCTGGGGTTCAGGCACCGTATGAGGGTTGGGAATCTCTCTTCGTGTCAGTGGGATTTGGGAGGAGAATGGGGAATTAAAGTGAATGAAATGTGCTGAAAGTTCTCCCGGACACATGCTGGCAGTTTCCCCTCTTCAAAACTTCTGGTGGAAAAAATCGTGGGTCACTGGAGCTTCCCTCCTGCTTCCTACAGCAAGCCTCGGCAGGAATTAAAAAAAAAAAAAAATTACAAAATGAATAAATAAAAAGAAATTTTAAAAAATTTTTTTAAAAAAGGAAATAAATAAAAAGAAATAAATAAAAAGAAATGTTAAAAAAATAAATAAATAAAAAGAAACAAAAAAGAATAATCAGCATTTACAGGGAAAAAAAAATCAAACCCGACCCCAAGCGGTTTGTGTTGAAGCGGGAGCGGTGCGGAAAGGCAAAGCTGATTTTTGGGGTTTGAAAGGGTTCGGAGCATGT